CATTTAGATTCTGGCCACCTTATTTATGTATAATTTTGTATTACATCAGGTTTGTAATAATGATCTATACAGGATGTTACAAATGCATAAAACTCATCAGCTTTATAGTTCATGTATTTAGCAATTTGTCAGAAAAGTGTATTTGGTTATTATCTATCGAAACTCAGCTAATGGAAAATTCTCCAACATTTCTCCAAAAAAGGACTATAAGCAAAGGACTTGCCTAAACACAAGTGAAATATTTTGCAGCAAAGTTCAGCCCAAAACAGCAAAAATCCCAGATTTTATAAGAGATTTTTTCACATTTATAACTTTGTGGTTATGGCTTGCTACTTTGTTCCCAGGGGACTACTTAGACATTCACAGTTTGATAAAACTTCTGAATGTTTGCCCTGGGACATGGGAAAGGGGTCTCTGGAGACCCATTAAGTAGTTAAATGACCAGGAAAGTAAAATTATCCCAGGGAAGTGGCCTAAATGTTTGCATAGTGTGTTTGACAGTGGAAACTTTCTTTTCCTCATAGTATTAAAAGCCATTTCCACTGTTTTTCCATACTGTTTTTCAAGGATGTGTTTTTTCAAAGAACGATTTAAAAGTGGATGCACTCGCCTCTCAGACAAATCTTCGTCTGCTAAACTACAGTAAATTTAAATCTCTTTAAGTTGTTGTTGAAGAACGTTACTCATACTTACATTTTTGTGTTTCTCATGTTATCACTGCACAGTCTATTAAAAATATACATTTTAGACACTAACCACTGGGGATCTTGATTTATTTGTTAATTTGGAGTTATTTTGGTCACAGTAGTGGTTTGTTTGAGTTCTGACATCTATATACAAGTAGAAGCAGGTCTTTTGCGCATATAGCTGGGATAGCATCTGGGGAAAAAAGAACTGCAATAAATGTGATATACAGTAGTTGTTCTATCATGTAACTTGTTAGGATTTGATACACATCAAGGTCAATGGGATTCTCTCCATTGATTTCAAATTTTAGCAGAAAGAGGCCCTGTTTACTCCCTGCTCCACTGAACCCAGCTGACTAAATTTACACCATGCCATGGAAGTGGCTCTGAAAGTCGTACCCTTCCTGAAGAATTGTTGCTAACATGAACAGTCCCAGTGACTTCATCAATACCAAGCCATGGTAAGAATTTTGGGCGGTGAAAAAATGTTCTATTGGTTATGGTATTCTTCACGTAACAGCTATTTCAGCAGTAAAGGCTAAGAAGGTAAGACTTGCTTAAAGAAATTGTTTTCAGGACTGCTATGAGGATGCAAGTGAGCTTGATGGCAAACCAGCACAGATATGGAAAAAGTGTGGAGTCACAAGCAGGTGAAAGGGTTGGAAACAACCATCTATGTTCTGTCACTTTTCAGAGACAATCATACACAAATGAGCAAACACTTTTGAGGAACGCAAGTTTATAACTAATATTCAGGAGCTTCACAATTCTTGCCCTCAAATCAAATTTATTTGGAAATATCATCATAGGAAATACGGACAAGTACAGCAGAATAAAAACACACAGTTGTAGATTGCCTTGTTGAAAATTAAATAAAAAAATACTGGATAGATCATAACCCATAACAATATTACATAATATATCTGTCAGATATCTCAAGATAAAAATACAAAATAAAACTCTAGAGGGCTAATATATAGCTACAGCTCCTCAGTGTGCTCAATGCAGGGGTACATGCCCATAATGCTGTGGGAGAGATGCATATACAAACATCATTTCTTATGGCCCCATGCAGTGTTTTGGTAGTGCAGCCTTACAGGTTTCAGAGAGAAACTATTTTTCAGGGAGAGGCCTTCTCAAGAAGCCTTTCTGCCATCCCAGCACGATCTTCAGCCAAGATCAAAGCCTTAACTAACACATTGGCTACATCAGTCTTCTCCACCAAAGAAAATTTCTCCTCATCCAAACAACACACTAAGCTTTGGGTCATGTCCAGGTAAAATGTTGCCAAGAAAAAAGGAAGAAAGAAAGAGAATCAGCTGGCTTTAAAGAAAAACTAAGGACTCTTCTTGTATTTCAGTAACATCTACCCCCATGATTAAAACTGAATACAAATGAGCAAATAGGATTATTTACACACAGCTCACATTTCTATATAAATGAATGAGTTCTGCAGGCACTGAGTGCCTGCTGTGAGATCAGGAGATCCTTCTAGTTTCTGCAGTGGGAGATCTTGGTGTCGGGTATAATACTAACAGGACACTGAGAGCCCCACAGGATGCTCTGAGAACTCTGGAGAATCTGCTATAATTTCTGCTTGTATTTCCAGGAGAAAATTCTTTTAAAGTGTATAAATCACTATGGGACTGAGACACAGGGGGAAAAAAAAAGTTAACTTCAACTATGGTAAAAGTCTGACATTGAAAATACCATAAAAACATTAAATTCTGATTGCTCCAGACTTTCAGTCTCAATGAACTATAAATTACGATGTTGAAGAACACTCTGTAACAAATACCTAACTGGCCTAGTTCTTAAAGACATCAGTCATCTTTTCCTCTTTCAAATTTGGGGGGAACTGCAGATACTCAACATATCTGAAATAAGATCCCAAGTTCTCAGATCTTCAACAACAAGATTTTCTGCTGCCATAGCGTATGGCAATTTGCAATTAAAAAAATGTCTGATATGACCATTATGTTTCTTTTCTTGTCATAATGACAATAAGAAACCATAAGATGGTTTGCATTTTATTATAAAGATGGGGGTGGAAAGTCCAACATTCCCAAAAAGGATGCGAAGGTGCACAGAGTGGTCCAGGCTACTAATGATTTGCTCAAACACTAGCAGAGAATATATAAATTCTTCACTCTTAGCAAAAAAATATCAATTGCATTATAACATATATGATACAGTTTCATTTGTTAACAATTCATCCGTTAACTGCACTGTACAGAAATTTGTCCATGCTAAATACAAGCCCTGGACCAGATACACAAAACAATTTAAATGCACTTTTTACATCCTATATGCACAAACATTTCTTAAGTTAAAACTATGCACACTACTTATGCATAGCATGTATATGGCTTACTATTCAATGACAGGAATTCCACCTTTTGGCATGCCCTTATCCCAGGGCTCGGAGCTCGCACTGTTCCCAGCTCAATTTTGATTGCTCTGCTGTCAGAAGAGAGACAGTCAACAGGTATGGACGTGTAAGGGTCCCTCAGCCTCGGGTGATTGTTTTACGATTGCTTCTTCATCGGGGACAAAGTGCGCCCTTGTTGAGTTTGAGCCTGATGCCTGTTGACCTCTGGTCAGATCCTGAAGCAGCAAATGAATAGTACATAGGTGTCAATCGTCCACCAGCCTCTGCACAGAGAGCAGTGCCACTGCCCCCACGAGTCCTCTTCAGAGCGGACCATGGCTGATTGTAAAGACTTTTTGGTCAGTGAGGTAATAACCACGGGGTCCCGAAAAGAGAACTGGGAGTGCAGTGACCTGAGCCACCCAAGCACCCAGAACACAACGAGAAGCATAGATGTACCCTGGCAGGTTCCAGCAGAGGGAAATGAGGTTGGCTGCAGCTGCATGGGACACCTGGGCAAGCCAGGAGGTCACGTGCAGCTCAAGGGAAGCGGAGATGAAAATGGAGTCTCTTTCCAGGCACAGTTCGGGCTGGAGGGCTCTTTCTGAGGCTTCTTGCAGAGGTAACTGCCTGTGTGCTCCATTTTCACTGCCTCTGCTCTGGTGGTTTCTTTTAATGAAACTAATGTTAGCAAGGATTTTGCAGGACCCATGTTGTCACCTTTGCATTTGAGACAAACCGTGATATAAGGCCTCAGCGTCACCTTCCAGCCCTGTCTGAGAGGCAACACACTATTTTTCTGAATTGAAGCAATTTTCATGTATTCTTGTAGCTGTCTCTTCTGCCCTAGAAAACAATAAGCACCAGCTTCATGGTAGGGCTGACACCGTTGCTGATGTCTTCCAAAACACTATAGGACTGAGAAAGTTTTAATCTTTAACACTGGATGCTATTTAATTAATTTATAGAGATATTTCAAATACTGATTTGTTAAACACCAGTTCTCTCCACACGGCAACCACAAAAGTGGGGAAGAATCATCATCCATGCAGGCTGGTCAGTGTAACTCTACAGCTTCCCTGTACAGTCTATATATCTTTACTTCCAGATATTTTAAGGAAGCTAACAAGTAGGACTTGAACGTTGCATGCAGCATGGTTGCATGAACAACTATCTATAACAACAGTTCATTTTGACTTTCCATTTCCATTGGATACAGTAGCAGTGACATGTAACAGCAATCCCAGGCAGATTATAAATGTTGTGTTTTCACATGTCTCATGGTTAACTGGAAATGTCTGGTGTCAGTGATGCAGTAAAGTGAGGTCCACCTTTGGCTGAAAAAGGTATTTTGGCTAGTTTAAGAAAGTGGAACAGAAGAGTAAGTAGCAACAACAAATACAACTGAAATCTTGAGAGTTATTAAGTGCCTTGAGTTTGCAGCTCAGGCTTTTACACTTATGATCATTTTGTCCAATCACTCTCCACAGAAACAGGATGATCCAAGAACAAGTTGACAGATAACAGCCTCTGAGAGCACAGGGTAGGAACAGTTAGAGTTCTTCTTTTCTCCTGCAGCAGAGGTCAAATGAAAATTCATAAGCAATAGATTTTCAGTACTATTACTTCCAGTATTTAATATACCTGAACAGAGGATGTTTTATTGCATGACGATTTAGTCCGACATTAAGGATTCAGACATGTAATAAAAGTATTGTTTTTCACTGCTTTATATTGAATGGTTTTAAGAGGACATAGGAAGTGGGGTGCAACATGTCCCCATTTCAAAATTCTGTAATAAAACCACAACTGGAATAGAACAAAGAGGATAATGATAGCACTAAGCAAGTTTTTACAGTATAAAGCTCTCTCCATTTTAAGAAAGAAACAACAAAATTACCTGTCCTGCCTGAAATGTCAGAAGCTTTTGAGCAATAGCAAATCTAGTCCTGTATCAGTGCTTCTTTCTGCTCGGTGGCTTTTACTACATCTTCTGACTTCTTACAGTGTTTAGGCTCACCTGGAAGATAGATTGATTGGGAACCTGAGTGAGGAAGTTACCCAAGTTAAGAACAGTCCTCCACAGACAGGAATTTTTTCCCCTGATTTTTTTTAAGGTTAAAATGAGGTTTCAGTCACTGCTTTCTTTAATTGCTTTCTCACCAGAGTAAGCATAGGATTGAATTCGCTAATTGTTAAGGTTTATCCATAAGGCAAAAGAGAGAATGAAAGCAATAGATCACAGCATGAAACAAAAACAGGAAAACATTTACATGAGTAAGTGTTAATAAAGTGGGTTTGGGTTTGGTTTATTTTATCTTCCAACTTACTGAAAGTCTGCAGAGAAGTGCTGTTTAAATCCTCTTTACTGTAGGCTTTCAAATCGGGAGAAAGCTTCTCTCAGATAATGAAAGACGCCAGTGTCAAGTTGTAAGAATTCAATTAATTCAATCAGATAGGAGATATGACACCGAGTGACATGAGCAGCTTTCAAAATGTGATACAACATGAATTTCAAACCAACAATCATAATCTTAAGCTGGTTTTTAAACTATTCCTTCAGTAATTTTGAATGAGTACAGCTGACAAAATTATAAACTGAGATAGTAGGCACAGGGAGAATGCAGCCAACTTACAGTGTTTTTTAGTAACTATATAGTAACCTCTTAGTTTCAACCAGTTGACTGAGTGATCCCATCAGTGTATTTATAATGCTGAACTGAAAATGTGAAAAAGGAATAGCACAGAAGTCTGAAAAGTGGAGAAGATGAGCTGGGAGAAGCATGAAAGTTATAAAAATCAAAATACAGGCAGAGGAAGATTTTTTGAAAGACAGAAAAAAAAGGTACCAACCGCTGCAAGGGAACATAGATAATGTGTGACCTGAAAGGAAAATTGAAAGACGGCGAGTTTAAGAAGAGGCTCGCAGTTTAGAAAAGAGAAAGGGAAGAGAGGAAAGGGAGCTCATGAGAATGAGAATGAGAAAAGAAGAAAATTAATAGCTATGAGTTCACCATGGCATCACTATAAACAAGTGAGAATTGCTACTGATTTTAGCCTCATTTCACTGCTATGAACAGGGGCAGAGTGGGTGCTGCCCACTCTGTAATGCAGCCACCAGCCGATGGGCGATATTCCCCCATGCAGCATTCTTCACCATTCCCCTTATTTTACATAAATTCAGTGTGGGTTGAATATAGACAATCAGTTCTCTAAAGGATTTTGAAGTCTCAAAATTGGACTAATACGAATTAGGACAGGAATGTCTCCAGATCTTTCAGCCTGCAGTTGTTTTTGAGAGGGTTTAGCAAAAATTTATTGTTATCCATAAAACCAAAAAAGGGGGTGGGAAGGGGTATGAAAGTAAAATTTATTGATCTAAATATTTAAATTTTATACATGACGTCGAGTGGTTAGCAGAGTTTTAGGAGTGGGACAGAAGTGGTCTGTGGAGGCCCTAAACCAAAAATTTTGTATGTTTAATTCACATAAAAACTAAACATTGATTTCTAAACCATACGTAACTTTCTTTGTGTTAACACATCAGTTTTTGGATGTGATAAACTCTGCCCTCTGAATGGTTCTAATGGCTGTTATCTTATGATCCTTATACTTTTTCTAAAAACATCATTTGCCCTTTTAACATAAGCTTCCCTCCCTCCTCATCCCAATCACGAACACGGATGCCTTCCCACAGTACCAGGACCCTGATCCACTGTTGCTCCGTTTAGCCGCACAGCGTGCACAAGGGTCACTAACAAACCCAGCACCCCAGCGATCTGTGCCCACATCGCATGGCTTTCCACGCTCGGCTGTGCACCACAGGGCCACCGCGGCACTGACCTGTCACTAGTATTTGCATGGCATGGGTGATTACTCCATGCCACTTGCATTACCATAAGTCCAACTGGCATGTTGTTGATATGGATCTGTCCACTGCTATTTAACCTGGTTATCCTCCAGAGGCTTTCAGTTACTGACTGCTAATGACGCTGAATGCTTTGTATAACTCGATGTGACTGGATAGTCCTCTACTGTCATATGGAGTGAAGTTACTGATAACATGTTTTATCACAGATTTATTATCCCCTTTACATTTTGATATTAGGGATTAATGTGGCTATCATCATGACTGAAAAGTTAAAAGTATGCCAATTAGCATTTATAAATCATTGAAACACGGAGTTGTTTAATTAAACATAAGCAGTTTTTAAAATTAATGTTCTAATTAATAAATCACTCAGGAGTAAAGGAAAATAATCACTTAAAAAATCACCTTAAAATAGTTCCACTTAATCTTGTAACATTCAATTAAATGAAAGTGAGATGATGGAAAGGACAAAGGTATTGTGGAGAAAAATGACATTCAGTCACAACTGGAGTTCTTGTGACAGCAGTCCTCCGGTTCTCCCTTCGCACTGACCAGTGCGCAGGGCAGAGCTACTCCTGCTAAGAAAATGCCATAGTCTACAAGAACTACACCTAGAAAGAGATGTGGTACAAGGAGAGGTAAAAAGTCCTTTTTTTCTTTTCCTTAGTGGGGAGCCCCCTCATCATAGCACATCCAAACATTCGGTGACAGTTCTCAAGAATGCAGATAGATCGTCTTCCCGTCTTCCCCATCTCCGTTATAATTCAGTTGCTTACTCACAGAAAAACAAATTGAGTTTTATGCTTTTTGTAAAGGACAGAACAATGACAGCTAATGTATGAAATTTCAATCTGAATAACTGTGTTGCTTTTCCTCTTACTTCCTATCTCACTTTCCCAGCCCCAGCGCCCGCGGGTGCTCACTTCTCCGCCCCAGGAGTCAGCAAGCCCTCTGGACACCATTTTAGCCTTCTAACCTCCATCCTCAGTACAGAAAGTACAGAGGTAGAAAAATCTAGCATGGGGAGTGCTAATAATGTCCTGGTAGATGCATACTGCTTCTTGGAATACTCTAAATAGATCTAATTTGGGAAGCAGGTTAAAAATGTAATGTCACAAGTATGCCACCTTCTGCTTGCTTGAAGCGACATTCCATTGAAAATTCTCTGACCTTGGTCAAAAGAGTCCTGTCTGGATCCACTGGCCATCAACAGAGGTGCAAAAGTGAAAAGGGGGGATGCTACCCATGCTGTACTTCCCTTCTGTGCTGAGTGCTACTGCATCATAGACAACATACTCACTCGGCTGCCTCAGACATCGTTTACACCGAGAAAGAGAGGGGAGTGAGAAGAGAAAACAGAGGCTGCTGTTCTTTTTGATGTAGTTGTGAGCCTTCTACACACACTGCAGCAATGAAAACTCTTGCAAAAACACTAATATTAAGTATCTACATTTAGACAACAACCACGACAGCTTAATGGATTCCCTTCGTTTAGATGATATTAAATCCTTTCACCACTGTGAAAGAGAAACGTGAAACATTTTAGCCTGAGTTTTCCCTGTGGTATTGAATATTGCAGACTATTCCAATACTAAATGCCTGCATTGCCTTTCTTTTTAGTTATCTTTACTATGGCGGCACAATCTCCGTGGAGGTACTTCAAGCTGCTGCTGAAACCCAATATTAATTCATTTTGTCTCAAAGAGCCAGGACCTGAGCCTCACCATGCATTTGTAGACAGTCTGCTGCCCTGGCCTCTGCGCATTACAGTGATGTAAATACCTGCAGTATACTTTTCTAATTGGCAGGCACAGAAAAAGCCCACCATATATGTCATTCATTTATATCATCTATGACATAGTTGAGAAATTAATATTAGGTCTCCTCTGTGGTTTATTAGAAGCATAAAGTTCTGTGAAAGGGTCAGTGCTGACTTAAAATATTATAGTATTTAAAAAATATATAGATAGATTTCTCACTATATAGTAACCTGGCTGGTCTGTCCTTAGGAAAGAAAATTTTAAGAATATGATGACTTCGTCCCTCTGCAAATCGTTTCAAAAGACCATAAAGTATTAAAAATGTTTTTCTAGGGCCTTCAAATCTTGGGAAAATAGGGAAAAGGCAAGAATAAAATGTTATTAAATTTATGGTATAAACTAAATTATTTAATGACATAAAATCAGAATGTAAGTGATATCATGACTGACCAATAAACCCCTACAATGGAAGGTGGCTCAACAGGGATGGGCAAGGTCAGTGTGCCCATCAAGCCCAGGAGATAATGCAAGGGGTGACTGACCAGAGCCATTGCAAAGCAAGGCAATCTCAACACAAAGGGGAGCGGAGGGTGGCCTTTGGTTTAGATAAGCACCTACATCAATTGAGTGGATCCGCCGAGTATATCACTGTTGAGGGGACCAACCAGCAGTGTAGCTGTTTCTCCCTGGGTTCATTCGAAGAGTGTGACTGTCTCCCAGCGTTCGCCAGGCCAGCATGGAGGGAGTGAATATGTGGCTCAGCCCAACACAGAGTATAAGAACTAAACAACTAGCAAAACAGTTTTGAAGAAAGCAGCGGGCTTGAGCTGGCTTCAACCCACGTATGCCTTACTGGGGACTGGGGACACCCAGCGTCGTGACAGTGAGCATATGCAAGAGACAAGTAATGTGAATTACATCGGCTTTGTGACTGAGCAGTGTATTGCAATTGCTCTGTTTTGGTAAGTGTAACTTACATTTGTAGTGTGCTTTCTGGACATTTTGTATTACTTTGCTAAAGCAGAAATACTGTGTAACATCAACTATCTTCAAATAAGTAAATTTGATATGAAACATTACACCCTTCAGGCGTGGAATATCTAAAAGAACCTGGTCAGAGAGTATTGGACTCTGACATTAATATGCTACAGAAACCAGGCACAACATCCATCAAGCTCTCCATTTATCTGCATATTTATGTATGCTGGAAAATGAACACAAATAATCACTGAAAGGGATGGATGAGAGTAAATTCCACATAATACAGTGAACAGAAGTTTCACATAAAACAACACCTAAAATACCTTCAAATATCAGATGCCTTTAAAAAACTACATAATATCCTCATTCTATGCATAGTAGCAGTCTACTAAAAATTTGTGATAGTGT